TTTTCTTCTCCTTTTGCCCTTCATCAATTGGTATCTGAGCTTAGAAGATCTATTCATCATAATGCGACCAAAACCCACTATTATATTTGAGCATGTTTTGTTGCGAATCATGGAGGGTGTGAATCAACAAATAGAAGAGAGAATAAATTATTTAATGGAAGATATTAGAAGAGAGATCGCTGAAATAAATCAAAGCTTACAACTATTAGAAACAATGTTTTAAAATGTGGCCGCATCGCCTCATATGCGGTCGCATTAGGGGCTATGCGCCACCCAACGCATTGCACTTTCCCGCATATGTGGTTTTGAGAGATGTGCCCGCATCAGAGCCACATACCGCATCGACCGCATCATGCTGCATAATCTGTCCGCCATTTTTTTCAAAACTGTACCCCTCGGGCAGGGGCAATAAAGTCATTTTGACTTTTGAAAATGGGGGGAGAGGTTTAGGGGGGTATTAAACCACCCAAACAATATTTTTCAGCCACATCCTGTGGCTTTTAATGGATTGATTGAATAAAAAAAAATTTTGGGCGAAAATTTTATTTGTTGAAGTTCTTCAATTTATAATACAAGATACTACAAACTAAAAGTCCATGAAGATTAAAAGTTGTAAATCAAAGAACTTTTCCCAGTACTTTTCAAATAAAATTTGTAACTTTAAAGAGTTTCATGGACTAATACAGTAAAGCTACAAATTAATGAGTTTATAAAATTTATTGATCTTCATGAATGCTTTGATATCATAAAGTTAACAACATTTTTATAAATTTATTAAGTTTATAAAAAGTATACAAGTCGAGTCAAAGAACTTCATGGACTTCATGGACTCTTTTCAAGATTAAAGAGTTTATAAAATTTGTAACTTCAAAGTTTTTGGTTGCCGATTTGTGCTTATGGTTGTTGATTTTTTGAAGCTAGTTTCAAGTTTCTAGTTTCTACCAGGGGATAGTGGATACAAAATATCCGACAGCTAATACTTTTGGAGTTAATGAATAATCTAAATACGTACTATCACATATATCACATCCATATTTTTTTTCTATGTATTAACCTATTTTTTTAGATTTTTTAGAATTTTTTATATTTATTGACAGCATCGCCACGATGCACCCACATCCCGACCGCGTCGAGCCGCATCAACCCCGCCAATGCTTTTGGTCGCATATTGCATTTTAAAACACTAATTAGAAAATAGAAAATACCTGTCATGGAGAAGAAGGTGCTTGTAATCTAGCAGATTTGACGCCAAATCTTAATTTTGAGATCAAATAAAGAAGAAACTTGAATATATTAGGTACTATGAAGTAAGTAAATCTCAACGTGAAAGATGTTGACAATCTAAAAGTGCTACAAATTTGGATAATCAATTAAGAAGAAGAAGATGCACTAGTTGTAGTATGTGAAATACTATCCATCTAAGCTTAAAGGAGAAATCAAGATTAAGTTTAGTATTTTAGAGTTCCATTATAAGTTGCTTTTTAAGAGTGTGGTTAATCGTTTAATTGAAGATGATAGTGCAAACGGTAGGACTTCATCACCAACCATTGAAAAGACCTCTAGAGGATATAATGAATTCAACAAGCTTGAGGTCGAACTTCTCCCAAGCTCCTGAGGATGATGCAAATAGGGTCTTTTATTTTGTAATTATTTTTCTAGGTGATAAAACTCAGCTTTGGGTTTTCATGTTCTTTTAGAAAATTTGTCTTCTTTTTTTGGTAGAGAATTGGGCGGTGGAATTGTAAATTTAATTTTAACAGATAAAAGGCTAAGATTTAATATTGATTATGGTGAGGAGCAAGTTAGATTTTAAGATTTTTCTTCTACAAATATGTAACTATTGGGAAAGAAAAAAGAGAAGAAGAATTTATTTTAGGTTTTGTGAAAAGATCTTTTTAGGGTGGATTCCCTTGCAGACTCTAAGAGAAGGATATTCTCGCCTTTTATTTTTATCTTTTATTTTTTTAGTTTGTTTATTTTCTTTCTCTTCTTCTCTTTACATAATTTCATTAGCTTTACAAGGGAAATTTCCATGGAATTTCATGAATATTTTTATTCATGAAGTTTGGGTTTTCTTCCTGGTTTTGAGGCTTCATGACGTAAAATAGATTTTAGTCTTTTTGGAAGTCCAACTAGCCTAAACTAGGGGTACTTAAGACATTTTGACTTACATTTGATTGTTTGCAAGGCCTATTATGTAGTTTGAGGGAACTTTGCAGTCAAAGATCTGAACTTGATCAGCTGTGGATGTCTCAAATTATAGTTAGAACAGGTTTACCATTTTAAAAGACTTTGAAGGTTTGGATTATCCCTAATGGTTAAATTGGTTACAAGGGATTTGATAGATATATTTGGACATGAGTCTGCTGTACATGAGCCATAGGTTGTGAAATAAGAATGTGTGTGTGTGTGCATGCGCGTGTGCGTGTGCATGTGTGTGTGCGTGACTTTGATGATCCTTCTCAAGTACTCAGTTACTTCAATCTATTAGTGCCAGTGCTCAAATGTCATAACTCGCAAGCATTTCTGAACAGGGGCATTTTTGATGGTTGTCGATCACGTTTCTGGCTCAGTGGAATTCCCTGATAGTCACTTTTCTTAACCAATTAGTACCAATCTTCTTGATGCATTTCTGAATGCTTTAGAATATTTTTAAAGAACCTCAAAGATATTGTTTTCAGTTTTGACTATGATTATGTGATTTTTAGAAATTTTTTAGATTTGTTTTTTAATTATTTTTCTGTTGCGAAAAAAATGGGCAAAATTGATATTTTACAATTTAGTAGGGGCCTGGCTTTAAGTGGCTTTTAGTGTTTTAAGTTTTATAGCCTCTCTCTCTCTCCTCTTTGTCATCTCCACTCATCTCTCTCTCTCTCTATAGTTTATCTCTAAGCTCTCTTCCTTAAAGGGTGGCATGCACTGCCAAGGATTCCTAGGGTGGCACACGCCAATCCTAAGGCTAAGGGAGGGATGCCTAGGCTAGGTTGTAGTAGGGTAGTGCCACATAGTAGCATGCCCTAAGAGCTTTCAGGAAAACCCTAGACCTAATTCATAAATTCTTGCTCTCAAACCCTAGTTTTGTAAAGGGTATTGCCTAAGGAGCTTCTCAATCTATAGAATTCAGTAGGGCCAAACGTTCAAGAAGTGCGCCATTTATGTGGTAATCGAGTGTAGGGTGGGGTGGTAGTATCCCCACACCAAGTTACCACATCATGGTATTCATTCCTACCGTTGACACCTCCAATTAACACTTTCAAAATGTACTCCCTAATCTATTAAAAAACGGGTAGGGACCTGTCTTTCCCACTGAATTACCCCAAAAAAAAAAAAAAAAAAGTCGGGTGTAGGGTTTACTAAGTCCGAAGGTGGTGATCCTAGGCAAAGTTTAGTAAGTCTTCTTAACATAATTTACTAAGTTCAGATTAGAAGTTCTTGATTCATATTTATTTATAGAAATCCTATTTGTATTAGAATTCCCCTTGAAAGTTTTATTTTGGCAGCAAAAGTAAAATATCTAGATTGTAGTAGTTTTTTGTTTATATATATTTAATTTTTACATTGTATTATGGCAATTTTAAATAGAAATTCCAATGGTTAATAAAGAAAATTTTAAATTTATACTTTGGAATTCTACATAGTCACCCCTTTCACAGCTGCATTGAGCCCCGTGGTTATACTTGCAATAGATTTCTTGTGAAGGCCTCTCTCTAGTCATAAATTCGTAGTGACATTGATGTCACTGCCACTCGCAAAATATAGGTGAAGCTCTTGGACTTTCGGATGTCAAAGGTAGGTTTGCCAATTTAGTTAACAGATGTTGGTTCCTTCCATTAAACATTTAAGGTCCTACTGTCACCAAGCATCTTCCTTGCATTGGTCCTTGTGTTTCGAAGAGAAGTTGGTGCATAGATGGAGATATTAAAGCAGTTGTCTATGGGAAAGGAGTTTGAATTCATTACCTTATAGTCCCATTTGGACGAATCAAATCTTGGGAACAGTTCCATTTTTCTCCTTCACCCATTTAGGAGTAAAAAAACGGCCCAGATTGTTACACTTCACTATTCAAGGGTGATGGACTTTTCTAAATTGGCTTTTCAACAACACCACTGCCAAAATGTCCGTGACCCTGCAAAAGAAAACATGTTTTTCTTAGACGTATAGCTTTCTTTCTTACTCGAGATCCACCGTTAAAACCATACGTGAGATGTCGATTGCTTCTAATGTAGTGCCAATCTGTGATGGCTATCCCTATTGATCATTGTGAGAATCAAAGAGGGGACGGCTGAGAAGCAAGCTATGTATGGGGCCAATGGCACAAGTAGTCCTTACTCTCTTCATAACAAGATTGTTATATCCATATGGCTGTACCAAGTACCTCATCCATGTATGTGTCGTTTCACGTCCTGTAGACTGTGTTAGGAGGAACAAGTTCAGCCACACCGCAGTGCTATGTGAACTGGTAATAAATACCATAACTCATTTAAGGAGAAACCAACTGCATCAAGCGCTGCATCGAGCATGAAATGATTTCAATACTGTTATTTCTTTGTACCTTCTTGAGTGTGTTTATTTATTTAAATTTTTTTTTTTTAATGTTTAGGTCTGTAGGATACTTTTTATGGTTAGAGGTGGTTCAGATTTGATGTTCACTATTATTGCTCTTTATTGTACTTTAAATAAGCTTCATGATATTCTTCTGTATTTATGGTACCAATGCTGGCTTAATTGGCACGCCCATACTGAAAGGGTTATTTGATATATCTGTGCATTTAATAAGAATACAATGTTACAATAAGAATCCTCATTTTACTGGTGACCTCTAAATAATAGGATGACTTAGGTATTGCCTTCCGTTTCAAGTTTCATTCGCATGCTTTTGGGCATTCATTAGAGATATTGTCCCATATTTACTTGTGGAAGATGTAGATATCGGGATATCTTTCTGGATATGTTTTCTCAGTAAAATTTATATATAACTTGATTTCTTCCCCTGCCTTTAGGTTTATGTTGTACATTTCAAGTGCAATAAGAAGTTGATACATGAGTACCCAAACCTGTTCAACTACACAAAAGACATATTCCAGATTCCAGCCATCAAGAGCACGGTGAACATGGAGCACATCAAGCGCCACTACTATGGAAGTCATCCTTCCATTAATCCTTATGGAATCATACCTGTGGGTTCCAATACGGATTATTCTGCGCCCCATGATAGAGACAAGTTTGTTAATTAGAATGCTGATGCCAAGACAATAAATTCCTGCTATTCATAATACCATCTTGCAGTTGATTGTGCTCATGCTTCTGAGCCTATTTGTCATCTGCGGCACCAGCTTTGAGGTCCCCTGTTGAGATCATAGGCCCAAGAATGACTGTGATCTGACTTCTCAGAACAACTAAATCTGTCCTATATGTGATGAATTTGTATTGTGTGAATTTGTGACTTATGGTTTGATTATGTTAATGTGATCATCTCAGGCGCTTGTCGACCTTTGTTGTTTTGAGAGGGTTTGGATGTGAAAAATATGATTATGCCTTGCCTTCACCCATCGTACAATCTTTTTGGTCGATAATGAAAACTGCTAATGTACCGTTTTTGGTCGATAATGAAAACTGCTAATGTACTGTAGTCGTTGGGATCTCTCAACATTGGTGGCAATCATGCTCTGAAATCTTGTTCTCGCATTTCAGTTAAAGGACTTCAAAGGATCTTGGTTTTTTAGCTTTTGGGTTCATGATTCTCCTTGGCAAGGATCTTGATCCTTACTATTAGGTTGTTTGAACCGCACCTTAAAGACCAAGGTAATGATCAAAATGATGATTTTCAAGTTAGTTAAAAATGTAAATCACGGTTTTAAAAAATACTGATCTTGATGGAAATAACCAATCTGGATCGGCAATCATTGGGGGCGAACCAGTTCCTGTGAAATATCGGGGACCCGCTGGTTTCCTACATTACATGGCCAGTTTGGGCTGGTTCTCTAACATAATTGGCTGGTTTTGTCAAAGAATTGGTTAGAACCGACCCCATTTTGTTTTAAATTTTAATTTTTTTTTGATGACCTGTTCGGGAAATCGGATTGTTGATTTGGATCGTCGATCCGTCAAATTGGAGTGACAATCGGGATATGTTATCTATGTTAACGATCTATTTTTCTAAAACCTTGATGCAAATACTTAAAGGTGCTGATTGTATAGAGCCTAGGCTCTAAACAATTAAATTAGAGCCTACCTTCAAATAATATCGAAAAATATGGCTTCGATACTAGATATCTTTGTGATAGTCTTAAAATATATTACACCAGTATTTATAAAGTTTAAAGCTTCAAAAATAGTGTAGATCAGCAGATCTATGAAAACTTGAAAGTTTTGAAAGATGACGGTAAAAAATTGCGTTACAAAATACACTATTTCCAAAATTTGAAATCCATTCTTTTCTCATGTCCATGCATTTTGATGTCGAGATGTCGAGATGATCAATTCGAGGATATTTGGGCATCAAAACAACTTCATCTATTGAAATTTTTGAGATAGGCTCGAATTTGATTGTTTAGAGCCTCGACTCTATATAAACTTTTCTCATACTTAAATGTAGCTACTCTACTGGCTGCTTATAAACGGAGAGAGATATACTTTTAGAGTATGTATAATCCTCATATACACTTCAAGATTAGGAACAACATCCCAAAAGGTGGCACCTTGATGCCAAACATTTAGAGTTCTCGATCCCTGGTATATGCATTGTGTGGATAATGTTCGCAATCAAAACATTCTTCTACCTTGTCATGACTCCTGTAGTCCTGATCCCTATCCTGGTCCCAATGGCAAGATTGATGTTTCATGAATTGCAAATGAGCCAGTTCAACTCCACCCAGGTCCTAAGATGGGAATGTGCAGATGCCAGTTCTTTCATAAATGGGATTCAAGGACTCCCCAACCTACGAGTTCATAGAGCTTGCTCAAGAAGTGCCTGGGACTTATCCTTTTAAAATTTATTTTGGAATTTCTGTTTTTGGCTCTAGGATGCGTATAAATGCCAATCAGGATTTCAAGGTGGACTTCCATGTGTCTTTGAGAGTGGAAGGATTTGCTTTCATCTCCGATTGATACCTATCAACTATTGTTGAAAACATGGGATGCCTTACCTCTTGGTTGAGTACAGAGACAAGTAATTCTGTTTGCTTTGACAAATGACTGGTTACCTGAATTTCTGAAATTCAACTTGAACATGGACTTGAAAAAATAGGAATATGGTTACCTGAATTTCTGAAATTCAACTTGAACATGGACTTGAAAAAATAGAAATATGATTACCTGAATTTGTGAAATTCAACTTGAACATGGACTTGAAAAAATAGGAATATGAGAGAGAGAGAGAGAGAGAGGTGGATTGATGAACTATGATGGAGGTCTGTAATAAGCTAGAACAGAATAGAAGGTCTGTGTGAATGTGAGGATCAACAGAACAAGGGCAGCAAAGAAGGAGATGATGGCCCAAGGGTTGTTGAAATAGTTCTGTCTGAGGGTGGCTCCCCAAGTATTCCACTTGTGGTCATAGTACTTGTTCACCTCCTCTGACAGTCGGGAAAGATAACTATCCTTCATATCAAACACGATCTCTCGGCACAGGTTATTGAACAGCTCCGCCACCTCCTCATCGTTCCCCAACCAGTGCTCGATGATCCTGCGATAATGGAGGTACCTCACATCCTCCGGAGAATTGATCAAATTGTCCATGAAAATAATGTAAGATGTGATCTCACTCCCACACTCAAGGTGACATTGCTCAAATGCCATGAGGTTCAGGAACAGAGACTTGGTCCCATCATGGATGAGCAGGCGAGGGATCTGTAAAACCCCTCTGGAAAACCTCACGTCCCAAAACCTGTCTGTCTTCCTCTTCCTTAACTTGATCCCAGCTGCCCGCAGCTCGGTCACGCAGTGGATGAGCTGTTGTCGCCTCTTGTCTGTTGCCCGGACTGGTGGGGGATGCTTAACATGCAATCGATGTCTAGACGGGGGATTTGGATAGGTCAAAAGCAGGCTTCGACGGAAAACATGGAGGAAATGTAGGCCTTCATCTCCTAATGGATCGAACAATCCGAGCTGGGTGGGGGGGTCCATATTACGAAATCGATTACTCTCCTTCTGTAGAAAGGGCTCGTCATTGGGCCTGATGGGGTCGAAGAAACAAAGGGCCAATTGGGTGGCACTAGCGCTCTCATCGGGGTTGCTGGTCTGGATACCTAGAAAGCGATCAAAGACAAAGAGGGGAAGCTGGTTCTCGAGCATTATCATGTCCCTTTGCAAGGCATGGATCACCCCACGCATGGCAAACACAGGGTCATCCCGAGAGTAGCCGAGTTGATGGAACCCGTCGATGGCTCCACGCATCACCTCGAGGGCGAAGCAACCATCAAGCACCATCATCTCCACAAAGGCATCGGGGCTGAGGGAGATATGGGCCGCATAACACTGTCGCGTGCGCTCCTCCATTTCGCGAGCAGCATCGAGGTAGCGGGTGACATCCTGGGTGGTGCGGGTAAGGGTGTGACTGAGGGCTCGCCACTTGTGGCGTTCCATGTCACGCAGGCGTGGCCTATTGTGGTGGTAGGGTCCGATCGAAACCACCTGAGGCATGAATGCCTTCTCGTCTCCTTCACGCAGACTCTTTGGGACTCTGTAGATGCTGACCTTTTCCCACAAGCTCCTCACCTCCTCATCATGTGCTTGCGCCAGTTTCTCTCTAATGGTTATCACCCACTCCTCCTCGCGAGTCTCCGACTTACCGATAATTTCTTCATCCAACTTTTCAACACCATCTTTTTCTCCCTCAATACCCAAGGATGATGGTTCGGGTCTGGATTCTGATGTTGGGGCGCCAGCCTGAACCTTCTTTTGAAGCGTTAAGGCGATGAGATACCAGCTCAAGAGCTCTTTGTTGTTCCAAACTGCAACCATTTCTGATGAAAGAAAAACAGTATATTTCTTTGGAGGAAGATAAGGAAGAAGGGAGCGTTGATCCCCAACTTTTTTATGTGGACTCAATTGCCTAGAGATGGCAAGTTTTTCGATTAAAATCCTCTGCAACTAAAGCTTAGAAATAAAGCTATGGCAATTTTTTCGATCAAAATCCTCTGCAACTAAAAGCTTGGAAATAAAGCTATTCTTCCTACCAATGGGCAGGGGAACGCTGGTTGCTTCTTGTGAACACCATGCCCCATCATTAATCAATTAATTTCTCCCCAAACCAAAGGAAATGGGCCCTCGTCCTCTATCAATAATTTAAAGGATGCGGAGCAGAGAGTAATAATAGGTCATGTGCGCTGGGGGTTCTGTGGAACTTGGAAGTAGTTCTAGGTCCCTGGAATCTGGAACTGTTAATATTTGGAATATCTAGAATACTTATTTGATAACCTGTCCGGAAATTCTGAAATACGTATATCAAGCCTCATACTGATACTAATGAAGCCTTAGGCTTCACGGCTTCACAGGGAGATAGAAGAGAGACAGAAAGGCACCATTAGAGAGAGAAAGGAATGGCATATTTAGAGAGAGAAAATGTGTTAGCAAGACAAATGGCACAACTACAGAGAGTGGAATCGGAGAAAGAAAAAGGGTACAATTAGAAAAAAGAGTTAAGTGAGAAATGACTCATTTAGAAAGATAAATGGAGTTGGAGAGAGAAAGGGTGCTATTAGAGAGAAGATAAAGAAAGAAGTTAGAGAGAGAGAGAGAGGATTTAGGTATGAGTAAGATTATGTTCAAAGAGACAAAAGGGCACAATTACGGTGAAATATTAGAGTAAGAAAAAAGGTACAGTTAGAAAAAGGACTAAGAGTGAGAAAGGGTTCATTTAGAAAGAGAAATGGAGTTAGAGAAAGAAAGTAAGATTAGAGAGCAAGAGAGGATGCAATTAGAGAAAGAAAGGAGGTAGAGAGAGAATTGATGCTATTAGAGAAGATTTATTGGAGCGTGAGTTAATAAAAAATAGATAAATCTACGAAAAATATAAAAAAAATATTTTACATGAAATAACTTGATCAAAATACCCTGGAAAAGTTTCAAGGGTATTTTTATCAATTAGTTTTTTGCGAATTAATTTTTTTATATTTTTATTACGTGCACCTTATTGAGATGTACACATGCTCCGAATTTCAGATTATTTCGATTTGTAGAAAAAAAAATAAAAAAATAAAATACTATTGGATAATCATGACCTTACGATAAACTTTGGATGATGATAAAAATAAGAAAAATCACTATTATTTTTATCTATAAGAAGACTTTTTCATATATAT